GAGCCCAAGGCATCCATTCCAAATGGTCAGAGCAGTTAATCTGCATTTGCACTGATCGCAAATTCGACACCACATTTCCAGTTTGCTTAATACTCGGGTTTCAGCTCACTATTTTTGTTGCTGTTTGGGTTTTTGTTTGAAAAGAAGGGGTGCCTTAGAGAATTCCTTCTCCCCTCAGGAGTCCAGCAGTGCGCTTAAAGACTAAGTGGACCCAGGATCTAGGGGTTTCGTCATGAAAGGGACCCTCGTCATATCTAGAGCATCACACCAACTGAAGTCATAGATCTTGTGCTGTCTTTGCTGCTTGATTCACTGTGGGATGCCACAGGGGAGCAGCAGAGGCTGGCCTGACTGTTTCTGATCCCGTGCAGGTGGTATGCAGGAGCCTTGGGGGCCGTTCCCCAGATTTTTGCAGGGTGTCTACTTTGTCCCTTGACCAGCTCCTCTCCGCTTTGAAGGGCTTTTCTGTTCAGATTTGCTGATTCACCCTCTTTCTCAGTATTGCTTCTGACTGAAGGGCCAGAGGAGCTTCCTGTGCTGGGTTGCTGGCCTCTTCGAGATTTCCTTGCTTCTGCGTCACAAAATTGAGAGCAGAAGGTCACTTCCACATCCTCGACTGGTTGCTACTGGTACATTTCTGCCTGATGTTCATGTTCATTTTGATTAGTATCTGGGAGATATAATCTGTGATTTTGCTTCACTCTCATTTCATCTGGAGGTCTGATATCTACATTTTTCACAGCACCTCAGAAGTTGCAGGTGGTCTTTAGACCAGAAGTTGAGAGTCAGGGGTTACCCATGGCATGAGCGAGTTAGAATGAATAACAGAACAGAGCAGGCTGTGGACGAGTCTGGAGTCAGAAAGCTTTTGCCTATCACTTTGTTTAATTGAAGCAAGTAAGATGCAACTAAGTATAAAGTGATCCCATACAAGTGAAGTTCAAAAACAGGCACAATTCAGAATGGTAGCTCCTCAGTCATTTAAACAAAAGTACTATACGCTCATCAATTCCACTTCTGGGAATATTCTCGAAAGAGGTGAAAGCAGGGACTTGAACAGGTATGCATGCATCAGTGTTCATAGCAACATTATTCACAATAATCTGAAAGGTAGGAACAACCCAGATGTCCACTGACAGATGATTAGATAAACAAAACATAGTCTATTCATACTATGGAAAGTTATTCAGCCTTAAAAAAAAAAGGTATTCTAACGTAAGGTAGACAGCTAGTGGGAAGCAACCGCATAGCACAGGGAGATCAGCTTGGTGCTTTGTGACCGCCTGGAGGGGTGGGATAGGGAGGGTGGGAGGGAGGGAGATGCAAGAGGGAAGAGATCTGGGGACATATGTATATGTATAACTGATTCACTTTGTTATAAAGCAGAAACTAACACACCACTGTAAAGCAATTATACTCCAATAAAGATGTTAAAAAAAAAAGATTAGAAACAAAACAAAAAAAAGGAATTCTGACACATGCTACAACATAGATGAACCATGAAGACATTATGGTAAGTGAAATAAGCCTGTCACAAAAGGATAAATATTTTATGATTCCACTTATATGAGGTACCAAGAATGGTCAATTTCATAGAGACAGAAAGTAGAATGATGGTTGCCAGGGACTAGGGGGAGGTGGGAATGGGGAGTTATTGATTAATGGGGACAGACTTTCAATTCGGGATGATGAAAAAGTTCTGGAGATGCATGGTGGTGATGGTTGCCCAGCCATGTGAATGCACTTAATACCACTGAACTGTGCAAAGTGGTAAAAATGGCAATTTTTTTTTTTTTTTTTTTTTTTTGCGGTACGCGGGCCTCTCACTGTTGTGGCCTCTCCCATTGCGGAGCACAGGCTCCGGACGCGCAGGCTCAACGGCCATGGCTCACGGGCCCAGCCGCTCCGCGGCATGTGGGATCTTCCCGGACTGGGGCACGAACCCGTGTCCCCTGCATTGGCAGGCGGACTCTCAACCAGTGCGCCACAAGGGAAGCCCAAAATGGCAAATTTTATGCTATGTATATTTCACTCCAATTAAGAAAAAAAAGACAACTAATTTACAGTGAGAGAAATCAGAGTCGTGGTTATCTTTGAGAGAGAGTGACAGGGTGGAGGCACAGAGGAGCCTTCTGGGGTCTGAGAATGTCCTGTATTTGATCTAGTGATGGTTATAAGAGTGTATAGATTTATTAATAATCCCTAAACCGCACGTTCAGGATTTCTGCATTTTAGAGTATGGAACTTTAAAATATTTTAAATTCAGGGACTTCCCTGGTGGTGCAGTGGTTAAGAATCCGCCTGCCAATGCAGGGGACACGGGTTCGAGCCCTGGTCCGGGAAGATCCCACATGTTGTGGAGCAACTAAGCCCGTGCGCCACAACTACTGAGCCTGCGCTCTAGAGCCCGCAAGCCACTACTGAGCCCAAGTGCAACAACTACTGAAGCCGTGGCACCTAGAGTCCGTGCTCCGCAACAAGAGATGCCACCGCAACGAGAAGACCGCGCACCGCAACGAAGAGTAGCCTTGCTCGCCGCAACTAGAGAAAGCCCACGTGCAGCAACGAAGACCCAACGCAGCCATAAATAAATAAAATTAAAAAATGAAAACAAACAAAAATGCAAATACGGTAGAGAATTTTTTTTTTTAATTCTCCAAGCGAAACTTCTTAAGTCCCAGCCAGAGAGGAGCTGGGCTCCATGGCATTCATGGCAGTTGAGAAAAGAATCACAGAGTTGAGAAAAGCCAGCCTGCCTTGAACTGGGTGGGATGCAGGCATCCTCCACCCTCCCATCAGAACAGTGCTGAGCAAACACCCGCCCCATCCTGCCCTCTGGGAGCTCGCACTCACATCATAGCCACGCTTCAGCAACCTAATTGAGCTTCTGTTGGTTTATTTTTGCCTAACTTCTTGTTGTTGCTTATTGGTTTTTATATTATTGGCAACTTTATTTTTAGAAGTGGACCATTGTTAACCTCTGATGTTCCATCCTCAGCCCACCTCCCTGCTGGGTCCTGGTCACACATTCCCATCAGTGAGTCCTCATCACACAGGGAGCCCCGAGGCTAAGGGGTACCTCTGCCCACTGAGGAAGGAGTGCGACCTTTTTTGGGAGCTCAGCTGAGCGGGGAGAGGGACCTGGGCTACCAGGTATCGGAGAGCTGGTTACAGTAACAAGCCAACAACTGAGAGAGTTAACCTTCATCACTTACTGCGATGGTGTAAGATGCTATAAGATGGTATAAGCAAGATTGTAAAACTGGTGAAAGAGCCGACTCCCCTTCCCCCATAGGGTCAGATAGATGCTCTCATTGTTGAAGGAGCCAGAACACAAGGCTCCAGCCCTTTTATGGACCTTGGGCTTGGGGGAGGACCAGGGCTAGGGCTCGGAGTGGAAAAGCACAGGGTTCTGAGTCAGAAGGGGGAAGTGTCCTCCCCTCCCCCCATAAGGAGGCCTCCACACAAGGCCTCCACCTAAGAGGCCTAGGAATGCAAAGATGCAAAAGAGGCAGGCGCCTGAGTCCTCGACCTCAGCTCCCCCAGAGCCAGCCCTGCACTGCGTGGACCCCGTCTGAGGTGGAGGGCTTGCGTGTGGTCAGGACTGCAAAACGCGCACAGCATTTTAACCGGGAGCCAGTCTTCTCAGCAGCGTGGGTCTGTTGCCCTCTCTAGGTGGGGGAAACAGGGCGGGGAGGTGTTAGGCCCTCCCCGAGGTGACACGATGGAGCCCCTCATGCTCCTTGGAGAGCCCAGCGCGCGTTGATCCCAGGTCACAAAGCTCGGTCCAGTGAGCCCACACCACCTCGATTTCTGGAAGGGCCTATCTCCTCCCACTAGTGACCAGGCCTGGGGTGGCCCCTGCTGGGTGGGGTTCCCACCCCCCAGACCACAACGGAGGAGCACAGTCCACGCTTCCTCTGCCCCGTGGGGCATTCCAGGCGCTTCCCAGCCAGGCCTTTCCTGGAAGAAGAAAAGCAAAGAACAATCAGGCCAGAAATCCAGTGGCCACAGGTTCTGGGCACTCCCCGCCCCTGGTGCCCACCCCTGCCCTGTACCCTCTTCCTTCGCTTCTCTTCTCTCCTGTCACTGTGTCTCTGCTCAGGAGAAAAGATACTGCTTCCTCCTACAGCCAGACTCCAGCATGGCTCAGCGTGAACAGTCACCAAGCCTGTCTTCGTTTAAAATTTTATATTTTGTTCATCATGGATTTAAAAAATTGTTTTACAATATTGTATTAAAATATTATCTTGATTACTGAGTATTTGGGTGTCTCCTGAAATTTTGCGCCCACGGGGATGCCACACTCATTTGGCCTTAACCCCAGCCCTGCTGTGCTCAGGGAGTCATTCATTCATTCATTCATCCGTTCCACACACAGTCGCTAAGGGCCCCATCAGTGCCAGGGCACAAGCTGGGTACTGGAGAGAGAAAGGGAGCCCCACAAGACAGTGTTGGGGAAAGACAGCTGTGAGCCCCGAGGATTGTGGGACAGTGGGGGAGGGAGGTGCAAGGCAAAGGGACCCCAGGGGAATCAAAATCATAGCAGCTAACACTTAGGGTTATCGTGCCCCAGGCTCTGAGCTAAAGTCTTGCTCTGGGACGTTTCCATGGCCCTTCGATGTTTGCAGATGCCCGTAAGTCACAGAGGTGGTTCCGGGACCCTGGTGAAGTTACATGCAGGTAATTTGCAAAAGGTCACACTCTGAGCAGGTGGCGGTGGGAGTCCAGGTCCCTGTGGCTCTGGGCTCTCGCCTGCTCTGGGTATTGCAGCCACTTCCCCCTGTGTCCCCCTGGGGGTGTCAAGGAAGGCTGCTTGGAGGAACTGTGCATTGAGCTGAGAGAGGATGCGTGGAGGTTTACAGGAAGACCAAGGATAGAAGGTAGAAGTACTTCTGGCCGAAGGAACAACGTTTGCAAAGTCAGTAAGGCTCAGAAAAAAAAATTGATATCTTGGTGTCCACAATTCTGAGAAGCTGGGCAGTCTCCTAAAGAGTCACTTGTACGGAAAGAGGCCAGGCCAGCACCGCTTCCTCTTTCAGCTTCTCTGTTTCCTAATGACGTCAGCATAAGTAGGAAGACTGAGAAGCTGGCTGGCTGCCGGCTGGAGACTCCAGCAGAAGGTCCGTCTGTCCCAGCACAGAGGTACGGCCCGGCTTTGGGGGTAGGCTAAAGGGCAGGGTGGGGAGCAGGGGGAGTGTAGGAGCCTGGGATGGAAAGGACAGGGAGAGCCCGGGGGTGCTGAGTGCACAGGTGTGCTCTGAGGACTTGGGAGGTCAGGGCTTGGTCTCTTGGGAAGTCCTGAACCCAGACTCTTAGGCAGCCAGTGGACGAGGAGACAGTGAGGGCCGACCTGCCTGGGTGTTGTATGAAGGGCTTCGGGGGGCCCAGGCCTCCCTGGAGGATCCTGCTGTCCTGGCAGCAGAGAAGATACCTGGGGCGGTGGAGATCTCAGGCCTGGGAGTCAGACCCCTGTGTACCGTTGTCTTTGCTTTGTCACTAAGTTGTCACAAAGGTGTTGGTGGCAGTGAGAATATCCTGCCCTGGGCTTGTGTCTCATGTCTGGAATAGGGAGAGCACTGATAGTTCCTGACATCCTGGTTCAAAGAGAGAGAGAGAGAGAGAAAGAGAGAGAGAGAGAGAGAGAGAGAGTGTGTGTGTGCGAGCATACGCATATACATATGTGGATGTCCACAAAGATGGAGAGATACCGGGAGACAGAGGATGAAGCCGGGAGCCTTGCTGTGGCCAGGCCCAGAGCTTGGTGCGGGTTGAGAAACTCACTTTGGAAGATAAGAAGACGCTCAGTCCCTTACTTACTTAGAGACTTGTCTTCCCCCGTCCAAGAATGTTTTCTTTACGGTCGCACTCCTCCCTGACACACTGTTGCTTAATTGGGTTTGGGCCCAGATGTGGATGCCCTGTACTGACGTGTGCTGGCTGAGTGGGGAACGTCTGGGGGTGTCTGCATCCGGATGTGTGCAGGTGTGTGCACTTGCCCTGTGGACGGGAGGGCAGGTGTTTCTGTGGGTCCCCAGGGGGGTACAAGCCTGTGGACACTTGCCAGACAGGCTCCAGTGACAAGTTGCAAATGTTTGATGTTAAGTCTTCAAAGGCCCCACTGTTACACTTTTGTATAAACAGATTCTAATTTTCTCTACTTATCATCTTCCCTGTTTTCTAATGGTTTTATGAGTAAAACCCTTCCTATTAATTTTTGGTCACCCTTTTTTTCATTCATTAGTTTTACTTATGTTGTGCTGTATCCACTAATACTACAGGATACTTCACGAGTTCTTTAATGAACGTATTTAACACTAACCAAGTAAATATATGGATACCTTCTTTGTTAAAAATTGGGGGTACATAAATGAGATCATAACATACATATTGTCCTATGACTTAGTTTTCCACTTAATATTACATTTTGGACAACGTTCCAGAATAATACATGGAGATTTAACTCATAAATTAGCCCCAAGAGATACATAGCATTTATTAGTATAGACACCCCACAATTTACCCAATCCCGTGTTGCTAGACCCTTACGTGATTTCCAATTTTTCCACACCTGTGAAACTATTTCTGCAGCTCAGATTCCTAGAAGCAGAATTGCAGGGCAAGTGATTGCACGTTCAAACTAGTAATAGGTATTGTCAAACCATCCTCAAAGTAGCTGAACTAACATACACCTCACAGTCGTGCATAAAAAAGCTGATTTCTCTTTAGGGAAACAATCTTTTTTTTTTTTTTATTTTCGATTCTCGGGCCTACTCACTGCTGTGGCCTCTCCCGTTGCGGAGCACAGGCTCCGGACGCGCAGGCTCAGCGGCCATGGCTCACGGGCCCAGCCGCTCCGCGGCATGTGGGATCTTCCCGGACCGGGGCACGAACCCATGTCCCCTGCATTAGCAGGCGGACTCTCAACCACTGCGCCACCAGGGAAGCCCAGGAAACAATCTTTTAATTGTGTCCAATGTAATGGATGAAAAGTATCTGGTTCTTGCTTGGATACATCCTTTCCCTGGTGGTGGGTGAAGCTGTGTGTCTTCCATATGTTTAATGGCCATTTGGATTCCATGTATGACGTGCATGGAAATGTCCTTTTTCCATTTCTTGATGGGTTCATTGTATTTATGTATTAATTTTAGGAGTGCTTCATTTATTATGTATAGCAACCATTTATTTATATACGTTGAAAATATATTCTTCCATATTATCATTTGTCTTTTTTATCTGACATGTTTAAGATATCTTGCATTGTATGCAAACGTGCTCATTGCTCTTAAGTCAAATCTGTCATTATTTTTTATTTCATGCTTTCTGGATTCGGCGTCTTATTCAACCGCTAAGAAATATTTTTAATGCTTTTATCATTTTAGTTTTGACTTTTAAATCTTTAATCCATCTAGAATTTGGAGAGGTGGGTAATATGTAAAGTAGTCATCTAACTTTTAAAAAAAGATCAGCTGATTGTCTCAATATCATTAAATATGAGTATGCAACACGTGCTTTCCTCTGTGATTTGAAATTCCATTATTCCTTCCCAACTTCCTACTTGGTTATTTTCCTTAAATAACCATCTGTCTACTATTACACTCATTATTTTTCTAGCTAATAGAGCAAGTCCCTCATGTTTGATTTGTTGTAATCTAGAATCAGTTTGTTAAGCCAATCGAAAATCCTTTTGGAGTCTTAATTTACTCTTAATTTACTCTTAATCTAAACTAAGGGAAGGATTGACCCCTTGACCCCAAAATAGTGGTCATGACAACAGCAGGCAGCCTTCTCCTTTTCGTCCCTTTAACTGGGAGGGCACTAACATTTCCCTTTGACTCTGATATTGCCCCAGGTTTCTAGTACATACCCAGAAATGCCAATGTTCCCTTCAATTCCTCATTTGCCAAGGTTTATTTCTTTGTTTAATCAGGAATGGCTTTTGTATTACCAAAAATTTAGGAGCAACTGTCAAGATAAACTTATCCTTTTTCTCCTTTTAATCTGTTGATCTATTTCTTTTAATCATGTATAGAGTTGATGCATTCTTAAAGTCTTTGTCAGATTGTCCTATGAAATTGTTTTTGTCTGGAGTGAATTTGTGCTTTGATTTTTATTTTCCTTTTCCAGTTTTTACTTTTATCATTAAATTTCTTCATGAGTTTGGGAATTTTTGTGTACATGTTTATTTTATTTGGAGTGAGAAAGCTTTTGGCTTTTCTCACCTCTTTCTCCCTCTCCCTCCTCCTCCTTTGCCCCTCCCTGTCATCCTCTTGCTCCCATGTTTACCCCTCACTCTTGTGATTTTTAACCCTTACATTTTAAACACACATATTTAACTTATATTTTCCGTCAGCATTTGGGCTTACTTAGAATATATACGCTCCTCCAGAACCAGACAAGATCCTTAACAAGTTTTCAGTTCTCCTCTTCTTTTCACCCCTAACCTCACAGCCAGCTGCCATGTTAAAATCATCTTAGTTTTACTTCAATATTGTTACCATATTTATTTCTTTTCACTTTATACAGTAACTATTCTTATTTACTTAACTATAAGTCTTATTGGTTCCTTCTCTCAACACTGGTTCCAGTATCACATGCTCTCTTTCTTTCCTGGACCTTTTATATTTTCTGAAATCCACACTGGACTCATTTTCTTAGAAAACATCTGAAAAGTTTCATTGTCCTTACATTTCCAAAATGTTGTGGGTTTTTGCCCTTGAACTTCAAAATAAGCTTGACTTTTTAAGATTCTAGGTTCAAACATATTTTCCTCTCAGTATTTTCAAGACATTACTATCTATTTAGAGTTCCAGGTCACCTGTGACAGAATCTTGCCAACCTGATCTTTTTTCATTGAAAATAACTCATTTGCTCGTCTTTTTCCTTCTGGAAGCTTCTAGGATTACCCTTTTACTCTTTGATGACAGAAAGCTCATTAGCATGTGACTGAGTTTGGTGCTATTAAAAAAAATGAATCTTGCTTTTCACTTAGTGGATTATCGTCTCCTTTAAAGCCCTGTGAATTTTTCTTCTGTTTCCAAGTGTATCTCTTTGGTTGCACGTGGAAATCCCCAAATAACAGTGGCATAATAATATAGAAGTTTATTTTTTCCCTCACATAGAAGATGTTCAGAAGTAGGCAGTCTCAGACTGGTATGGCTGTTTCACAGTGAGAAGAGGGATTGAGGTTCCTCTTTTTCTGTTGCATATGACCTCCACTCTCAAGATAACCTTATAATCCAAAATGGCTGCTGGAGCTCCAGCCATCACTTCCAAATTGCAGACTGGAGGAAAGGAAAAAAGCAGGAGGACAAAAATGGATTCCTCTTACCTGAGCCAAGTTCCTTTAAGCAGCCTTTCTCGGAAGGCACACCCAATGATTCCACTCACATCTTCTTGAACAACATTTTGTCACATGACCACACTTAGCAATAGAAGAGTGTAGGAAATATAATCTTTTATTCTGTGCAGCAATAAACCTAGCTAAAATCTGAGCTTCTGTTACCAAGGAGGAAAGGGACAGCTAGGTAGCTGCCACTGTCTGCCATACCTGCCCTCAATTCTCTCTGTCTTCTGCTTCTAGATGTTGGAACTCCTGGATTTCTTTTCTAGGTCTCAACTTTTCTCTAAGACTTTCCATCTCCTTGCTTATTTGCTGTCTTCAATAACTACTTTTGTAACATGACGGTTTATAGTGTTAATTCTGTGATTTAGCCCATTATTGAGTTGTGGTGCTTGTTTCTTTGTTTGTTCATTTGTTTTTTATGGCTCTCATTACCTTCAGATTCCAAGAACTCTGTTTGTTCTTTGCATAGCAGTCTGTTCTTAAATGCCTGTGATTTCTCAAATTTCCCTGAGGATGTTAATTAAGATGTTTTAAAGTTTTGTGTTGTCTTTGCTGTATCTGTGCATGTCTGTAGAATGTCTACTGGGTCAGTATACGTCAGAATAGACACATATGATACCAATAATTGGGAAATACAACCACTATTGGCATAGTGGTTAAGAACATAAACTTTAAAGCCAACCTGCTGTGGGTTTCGACGTCAGCCTGTTCCTTACTAGCTGTATGATCATGGACCCTATACCGATTTCCTCAACTACAAAGTGGAGATTTTAACCTACACGTTGATGTATTAACATCTGTAAAGCCCTTAGTACAGTGCCTGGCTAATGGTAAGCACTATAACTGTTAGCCACTAATATGTATTCGCTGCATGTATGTGTCTTTTAGACTTGTGTCCTTTGATGTCATTAATTTGCTTGAACTATTTACAGTGTAAGGGCAGTCACCTGTTCTCCATACTTCTAACACATTTATTTTGCAATTTGTCCTCTGCTTTATGGTTCAGTTATTTGTATAAAATACAGAAGAGTTCACTTTTATGCACTTCTGTCAGCCTCTGTCTCTCTGATTTCTTCTAGCGCTTTGAAGCTTAAATAGTTCAAAGATTCACTTCTATGGTTTGCAAGTTTCATATGATGTAACCACATACATTTCATTGACCTGATATGTGGAGAATGGTGTGAGGTAGGGATTTAGGCTGATATGTTTTATGTTGTTATTCAATTGTCTCAACACTTTTTATTATTCCATCACTTCACACTGATTTGTGGTTGCTTCTTCATCACAGAGTACATTCTCTGGTGAAATAGAGTTTGTCTGGTCAGTGCGTCCATTGATTTATCATGTGTGTGTGTGTGTGTGTGTGTGTGTGTGTGTGTGTGAAAACACATTTCTTTACTTAGACCTTTGCAGTAGATTTTGCCATTAGGTGGAGACTCCTTATTTTTATTGAAGTACAGTTGATTTACAATATTTTGTAGGCTTCAGGTATAGAGCAAAGTGATTTGGGGCACATGTATATATCTATTTTTTTTTTACTTTTGATTCTTTTCCATTATAGTTTATTACAAGATATTGAATATAGTTCCCTGTGCTCTACAGTAAATCCTTGTTGTTTATCTATTTTATATATGGTAGTGTATATCTGTTAATCCCATACTCCCAGTTTATCCCTCCCCCACTTGCCCTTTGGTAACCATAAGTTTGTTTTCTATGAGATTCCTTATTTTAAAAAATCTCATTAACTGTCCTCACATATATATATTTTTTCTTCTGAGTTCCCACAAAAAAAAAAAATCTTGTTAATTTTTGATTAGAACTGTGTTAAACCTATAACTGACTTTCAGATGAATTGACCTCTTTACACGTGCAGTATTTACATTTGTGCTAAGACCCAAAGAGAAGCTCTGAGTTTTTAGGCAAGTTACAGGTAGGCAGAGCAAGTTGCCCCAGCTCACACAGACTCTCCCAAGCTGGCCATGGCATTGCCCCCTGCAGGATCTGAAGTGGACAATACTGTCCCTCAGCTCCAGACAAACCCACGCTTCCTTCCTGAGCATTTCCTGGACTAACCACCCTGTAAACATCATTGAGTTTGGTTCTCCTCATGACCACCATGTGAGATACGTTGGGTTGTGCTGATGTTACAGATGCAGAGAGCAAGGTTCAGGGAGCACTGGTGAGTCAGCCAGTGCACAGGAGGGGCACAGCCTGTGCTGAAAGTCAGTTTGACTGAGCCCAGGGCCGTGCTTTTCCCAGCAAGACAGCTTCTGGGGTGCATGTGTGCATGAGTGAAGTTTTAGACAATCTTATGGGCAGAAAAGGAGTCACAGTCCTCTCTGTTCTACTCTCCTGGTACTTCCCAGGGCTGGATGAAATGAAAAAAGGAGATCCCCAGGCTTCTGCGGAGAAAAGGGAACTGGTGTTTCAGGGGGTGGTGTGGGAGGAATGAGGTAAATGGAAAAGGGCAGGGAGAGTCCCAGGCCCCTGCGTGTGTGTGTGAGTGTGCATGTGCTCACATCCAGAGGACCACACTCCCAACACCCAGCGACTCCCCCAGGCAGATGTGGGTCAGTACCAGGCGGACCTGGGGACAAATCAAACACCAGGCCTCCCTCTTAGATTTTTCTCAACTCCGGTGCACTGGGTACGCCATGTGCGATCCAACGGGAACCCACATCTTCAGAGGCCATTAAGTGTATCTCCCTCACGGTCACGTCCCAGGCACTGAGGCTGAGGAGAAGGGACTGTCCCAGGTGCCAGGCTGAGGCAGCAGTGGGAGCTGGAGCCCAGGCATCAGAGCCACTCCTGGGTCCGCCCCACCACGTGGGCCGAGTCCCAAGGGCTGACGCTTCCTTCCGCAGGCCTAGAAGAGGCAGGGTCCTGGAGAGAGGAGCCCCAAGAGGCGAGGACATGGGTCTGTCCTAGCCCCCAGCTGGGCAGGAACACAAGATTCTAGAACAATGAGGAGTCCAGACCCTACCCAGACCTGGACCCACCTGAGCCAGCCACCTGCTCTTCCAGAGCTGACTCCAGAGATGGCGCTGCCCCGGGGGCTGCTCCCCCTGGCCCTGCTGCTGCTCTGCTGGGGGCCCTGCATGGCAGGGGCCCAAGGTGAGCCCGATCGCTCCCTCCGCCTCTCCCTCCGCCTTCTCACTGCTGCGCCCCATCCCTGAGGAAGCTCCAGACCCTACGCCCCCAGTCTTCCCTCCCTTCCTTCCTTCCCCCCGCACCCCCTGTTATTTCTTTTCTCTCCTGGTCATCCCTGGAGTCCCCTCTTCCCTCCTCCCGCGTTCCCGCTCATTCTTCTCTGGCCTCCTGTGAAGGTCTCTCTGGTTGTGTGGCTTCTCTGCCTACATTTCTCACTGCGGCATCTGAGGCCTCTGACCTCCTGGCTGGCCATTCCAGTCTTTTCTCTGACCCTCCTTCGCCCCCAGACATCGGCACCTAGACGGCCTCAACCAATTCCCACCACGGCACCTTTGCTCCTGGGGACCCTCAGCCTGGGGGTCTCTCCTCCTGCCCGGAGGCCCTGCTGAGATGCTCCCCGGGCTCTTCAGGCCCATGAACCCCCCTCCCCAAGGGTTCACTGAGAGCTTGGCTCCCCTGATAACCCTGGAGACCACGCTCCCTTTCCCAGCAGCTGACCACGAGAGCAGGGTGGGGACGTCCCAGAGTAAGGCCCTGCCACACTGCCCCTTAGGGGTGGGTTTGTGCCTCTGCTCCCAGGCCGCAGCACCCAGGGGCCCAGGGGCAGGGCATGTGCCTGAGGCATGTCCCCACCCTGGGTGGGAGGGACCCTGTTCCAGGAGCAGGGCAAGGTGGGGGCTCAGGACATATACTGTGAATCAACTAGACTATGTGTTTCCGTGCAGACAGGAGGGTCCGCGGCTGGGACCCTCACAGCTGCAGAGGCCCCAGCCCCACCCAGGGCTCCTGGGGACCTCTGTCTGGCCTCCAGGAGCCTCTACGGGACTCTGGGAGACTCCTCCCCAGTGCCACACACCAGGAGGGGCTGGGAGGGGCGGTGACAAGGGACATCTGGAGGGGAGAGGTGTGACCCCCTTTCTGCCTCCCCCTGTCAGGGACCTTCCCCCTGCAGACCCTGCGCTGCCATAACGACTACACCAGCCGCATCGTCTGCAGGTGGGCAGACACCCAGGACGCCCAGCGGCTGGTCAACGTGACCCTCCACCGCAGGCTGAACAGGCGAGTGAGGCCGGGCCTGGGGCCGGAGGGCAGGAAGGGCCTCTGCTGTGGGGACTGTGCCGGGGTCAGGGCTGGACGGGGGTCGGGGCGGGGAGGCCCCTGCCCAGGAGCTGCTGCCCCATCAGGCGGCCTGCCACGCCTACGGGCTGGTGTCTGACGTCAGGTTTGGGGGAAGACCCTCCTGTGTTAATATCGTTATGATGGTGATGATAATCTTCTCTTGTTTTGTCACGATTGAACAAGATCACCAGACAGAAATTGATCTCGGTTCATCCTCCCTGTGAGGCGGGCAGGGATATGATGCCCAATTCACAGATGAGGAAACCGAGGCCGTGGAGGTGAGGTCCCTCTCCCAGGCCACACGGTGGGGAAGTGGCCTGAGTGGGACCAGGGTCCTGCGTCCAGCCTGCATGGCTGGGCTCCACGTGCCCCCCGGGCCCTGCCACCTCCAGAGTGGCGGTTTCTCCTCTCTCCTCACAGCATCTCCCGGGCCTAACTCATTTGGGAAGGTGCTCCCATCATTCTGGGATTTGGTGAGAGTCTGACTCACCATAATAGAAATGAAAGAGCTGGCATCACAGGGTCTGGGGTGTGCCCTGGAGGCCGTCCCTGGGAAGGAGCCGCTCCCACCCCACAGCGTCACTGCCCGTCCGTTCTCTCTCCTGCCCTCCCAGGAGCCTCAGTCTTCCTTGTCCGCTGTCCTCAGCCCCCACCCCATCTCCCACCCTTAGCTGTGACCCACTTCCTTCTGCTCGGGGACAACAGATCCTCCCACCCCGACACCTAGCCCCCCACCTCACACGTCTGCCGCCTTCCTGGCCCCGCCCTGCAGGATCTGCCTTGTCCCAGGGCTGCCTGAGGCTGCAGCCGGGGTCCCACCTGGTCTTGCTGCTCAAGGACATCGCTGCCACCACAGTCCCCACTGTTTTGTTTTTCAGTCGCCTTTCCCTCCTTTCCTTCTCCACCACAGCATTCAATCCATCAGCAAATGCTGTCAACTTTATCTTCAAATAGAATGTGAATCTGGCTAACGCCATGGTTCCAAACACTTCCTATCACTGAGGTAGTCCAAAAGCCTCCTAACTGGTCCCTCCCCTTCCAATATTGCCACCCCCTGCGACCCAATGTATCCCCAGCCCAGGAGCCAGAGGAATCCTTTCAAAGCATGCCAAAATGTCACTCCTTTGCTCATAACTCTGAATTTTCCCCAGTTCCAGTGAAATCAAAATAATCATATTTCCTTAAATTCCTTTTGAGCACTGGCCTCCCATCACCTCCCACAACTAGGCTTCTAGACCTCCCACCCTTACATCTCTACTCTGTGCACACTGGTTAACTGCCTAGTTATACAGCGCTCCAAACCTGTGCCTACCCCAGGGCCTTTGCACTTGCTGTTCCCTTTCACTGAAATCCCCTTTCCCCGAAATCCCCTTTCAGAATCCGCATGGAGTCCTCTCTCATCTCCTTCAAGTTTCTGCTCAGATGTCACCTTTTCTAAGAGACCTTTCCTGCCTCCCTTATTTCAAATTGTGTCCCCAACCCAGCCCTTCTGGCCTCTTCATACCTCTTTCCTTCTTGACTTGTCTATGCACAGTGTTCTCCATTTGACACACGACCTAGTTTCTTCCGTTGTTTCATGTGTGTCTCCCTCTATTAGGATGTCAGCTCTGTTGACAGGGATTTGTGTGTGTTTTGTTCCCCGCCAGGCCCCCTGATCCTAAACAAAGCCTGACACATGGGAACCACTCAATAATATTTGTGAATGAGTGATTCTTCTTCTCTCTGGGCTAACCTGCATCCTCTCCTGACAGGGGCCTTCCGCAGCCAGTGTCCTGCGATCTCAGTGATGGCATGCCCTGGTTCAATGGCCATTGTCCCGGCTGTGTGCCCAGAATGTGTGTCATTCCCTACGAAGTTTTTGTCATTGCTGACCATGACTACTTCTCATTCCGACCAGACCAGCCTCTGGGTGCCCAGCTCACCGTTACTCTGAGTCAGCATGGTGAGGCCTGGGGGCCCTGGCCAAGGGTGGTCCCCTGTGTGGACAGGGGTGTCCAGGCTGCAAAAGATGGGCCAGGGAGGGAGATCCTTCAAGGGGTGTAGACAGCGGCTTGAGTTGGGTTTGGTTCTTGGGGGAAGAGGATACAGTCTCCTTAGATGGAGGCATTGGGTCAGGTTCAAGGTGAGGAGCCCCAGCCTAAGGTACCCACCCCTCCCAGATGCTCCAGCACCTGCCACGTTATTGCCTTCCAGACCTGAGGCTTCCCGTCTAGAAGAACAGTCCTTCCTAGTCAGATACAAACTTTCTTCTTTCACCGATTTGGTCTCATGGAACGTCTGTGACAGCCCATTTAATAGATGAGGCATTTGAGACCCAGAGCAACTACGTAACTTTTCCAAAGTGCCACAATGAACCATGACGATAGTGATGGGCCGGACTTGCCGGGTGCTCTCTGCATGTTGGAGATGAAGGTCATCCCCTTACTGCCCTCGCCGCGCGGCCCCCAGTGTGTGCGCTGCGTGTCCACAGAGCCTAAGAAAGTCAATGGTCTTGGGTGGGAGTCGATGATCATTTTATATGAATAGTCGGGCTTCATTTAACTGTACCTCAGACAGAAATACAACCAGCACTTTCATTACATTAATTCAATTATATTTGTGCTTAGAATGATTCTGAAATAAACATGGGGTCATTTTTAAAAGTTAGTATTGGGCTTCCCTGGTGGCGCAGTGGTTGAGAGTCCGCCTGCCGATGCAGGGGACACGGGTTCGTGCCCCGGTCCGGGAAGATCCCACATGCCGCGGAGCGGCTGGGCCCGTGAGCCATGGCCGCTGTGATGAAACAGGCTGAGAGAGCAGGAATTTGCCCAAGGTTAGGTACTCAGATGCTAGTGTCTGAATTTATTGTCCTGGATCCCAAACCCTGGGCCACCTGCTGCTCCTTGCAAGTGTCGGATGGGGAAGGGGCTCCAGGCTTTGCTTCCCGCCTCTGTTCATCACAGCAGCACAGAGCTGTTGCCTGGAGGAGGGGATGAGTTAGGCTGTGATGAATTCACTCCAAACAATGTCTCAAAACATGTGTCTGATGGATGAGAAGGAGTCCCGTCCCGGTGGAGCTCAGAGCGTACAGGGCGGGACACACCAGATGTTGTCGGGTGTGATCACTTACTGAAGGCGGGTGCGTGCCACGTGCCGAGGGGCAGTGGACAAGGGGCCCCTGGGAGGTCAGGACAGGCTTCCCCAAGGACGGAGCTTTGCAGGGAGATCTGAAGGGTGGGAGGGAGGAGAGTGGGAAGAGCATCCTTGGCAGAGCAAGGAGTGTGTGCAAAGGCTGGGCGACTCGGGAGGATGAGGCAGGTTAGGAAAACCGCAAGTAATTGTGTCTCAGAAGCATCAACTTCGAGAGGACTGGGCAGTGGTAAGGAGGGGGGCAGGGAAGGCAGGGGCCTGACCTGGACAGGCTTCTGTGCTCTGCAAAGGAGTTGTTTAGGGGTCAACATCTAGACGATAGAGAGCCACTGAAAGGGCATGTCATGATCAGATGTGGGTGTGATGATGTCAGAGGTGGGTGATGTACAGTGTAGATGGCAGGCGACAGGAGGTGGTGGGAGGACGGAGAACAGAATGTGACCTAAGGTACTCATCCCAGAGAGAAATGATAGGGATTCAACTGCCGTACGGCCAAGGGATGGGAAATTGGAGGGATACAAATCTAAATTAGGATATACAAGCAATTCATTCATTAATCTGCTCTTCAATAGAACACTTGCACATACAGGAAAGCAGTGAACAAGCCATCAGTGTCCCTGGCCCTGTGAAGCTTAGGAGTGATGACAGGTGTCATGGTTGAGATGGGGACCACTTAGAAATGGCGAGGGCAGTGTGGCATTTGCCTGCCGGAGCATATGTTGAGTGGGAAGTTCAGTTTTAGCCCAAACCATTTAGGCAATGAATCAGGGAGGCCTTGAGGTGCTGGGGAACGGAGAGATGTGCATCTGATCTGCTCTGAGGTTACACATGTAGGGATCGGAATATTTCACTTCCTCTGTCACCTCCACCTGTGAAATGAGCTCATGGACTACATCCCTCAGGTTGGATGAATAGGTTTTCCATTGGTTTCCCAGTCTGTTCAGTTGGGAGCAGCTTCCTACGGCTCCAGGCTGACAAGGAGTCCCACTGCTTGACAGGCTCAGGGGCTAGGAGTGCATGATTGATTAGTGATGCCTGCTGGGGCTGGGGCTGGGGCAGCGGTGCTCTGGATCTGCCATTCTGGGCTGAAAATTTTCTGAGGCTCCAGCTCTGACACGCTCTATCATGCCCTGTCCCCTGTCCGGCATAGAATATTGACATCTCGTTTGTCCCTTACGGAATTTTTTGTGTTGGAAAGTCATCTCTCAGCATTCAGATATAGAAGCTTCAGGAAGTCTGCAGCCATGCCATTCATGGATGACTCTGCTCACCCAACCCTGTAGGTCCCAGCAGGTGTCTGCCTGCTGTTGGTGATGGAATGATTTCTTGAAAAGTCTCTGAAGGTGGACCTACATGTACTCATTCATTTATTCCTTCGTTGATTCATCCACTTTGTCCCCATATGCAATGAACCACTCGTCTCAGGCCCTGGGGAGAGGCAAGGGGGTCAGGACCCCACCCCTGACATCCACAAGCTCCTGGACTACTTGAGGGGACAGATGTGGAAGCATCTGTATCCTCCAGGGCTATAAGGATCATACAAAGGGCTATGGTGGGGCAGGAAAAGGAGCAAGGGATTCTGCTGGGGGAGGGGTCCAAGAATGTTCTAGAGGAGGAGACATGTCTGTTGGGCACTGAGAAGTGCAGGATGACACTGGACACTGAAATAAGAAAGTGTGGACAGGAGAGGGAGTAACATGAGCCACAGCGTCCTCTGCTGGGAAGGAGGCCACACACACCTCCTCATGGGCAGTGGGGACAGGAGGAAGGTCCACTTGGAGTGACTGGCAGCCCTTTGCATGGAGCTTATGTTCTGGGCGCCCAGCAATCGGCACATCTTCATTCACATGCACATTGGATCCTCACAGTTCAGCAGATGAAGGTCTGAGGCCCACAGAGGTGAGGGGTCTCTCCGAGGTCGCTCAGTCCGTGGCAGCAGTGCTTGGCCTGGAACCCAGGTCTGTCCACACATGGGCCATGCAGGCCCTGAACCTCCCACACAGTCATCCAGCCCCTTAGGGACGCTTTCCTTCCTCTCTCTCCAGTGCAGCCCCCCGCACCCAGGGACCTCAACATCAGTGTTGCCGGGGACAGTGTCCTGCTGTCCTGGAGTGTGGCCCATGGGGGTTCCCAGAGCCACTGGCTGTCCAGCCTGGAGTTTGAGGTGGTCTACAGGCGGCTTCAGGACTCCTGGGAGGTAGGGACCCCACCAGCTGTGCCCTGCGCCCACGGGGACCTGGCCCAGCCGTTCCTGCTCCAGCAACCCCTCTCTCCCCCAGGACGCCCCCACCATCTACTCCAGCGCCTCCCGGGCCATCCTGGGGCCAGAGCACCTCATGCCCAGCAGCACCTATGTGGCCCGAGTGCGCACCAGGCTGGCCCCGGGCTCGGGGCTCTCGGGACGGCCCAGCCAGTGGAGCACAGAGGTTCGCTGGGCCTCCCCGCCAGGTAACAGAGTCGGAATGGGACACTGCCCCCCTATGGGGAGGGCAGCTCATTACAGCTCCTGGACAGAAGGCGTCCAGGGGTCCGCCCCATGGGAACCACAGAGGCTCTGAGCCATGTGTTCACAGTGACTTCCCTGGCCCACCCCGTCCCTCCTGTGACTCTGCAGAGGCAGTGGCTGCATCTTACTCACTTCTGGGCCCCAGTTTGTTGCCCACTTTCTGTGGAGGAACAATTACAATTTAATCACAAAGGCATATGAGCATCTGTGTTTTCGTGAGAGCTGCACCTTACACAGACATACCAACGTGATTGCGTTAAATTCCCAAACCCTGAGGCTGACACGCCCTCCCAGCTTTGCACAGGGGAGTGTGAAGGCTCACAGAATTCACTCTCTGACCTGTGTTTACACAGCTGGCCCTTTGGGCTGAGTTCAACCCCCTGGTCTTTTTGGCCCCAATGCCCATAATCTCTGTGATGAGCCTCATGGTGGGCCCACTGAGGGCTAGGGAATGAATGAATGAGGACTGAATGAGGGACTGTCTCCCTCCCAGGTAATGAGTCCCAGCCCCAGAACCTCCAGTGCTTCTTCGACGGGGCTGCCCTGCTCCGCTGCTCCTGGGAAGTGAGGTCCGAGGTGACCAGCTCGGTCTTCTTCACCCTCTTCTACAAGTCCGGCCCCAGTGCAAGGTGAGTGTCCCCTGCCTCTGTCCCCTCTGCTCCTCTAGGCCTAACCATCTCCTGGCCTCCTCCTGCCCCTGGAGGCCCAGCAGAAGCCACAGTTCATCCGGAGGTCTCATCCCTCATGTGGCCCTGCCTCTCCCTGCCTCCCCTTTGCCGTGATCCTCAGGGAGGAAGAATGTTCCCCAGTGCAGACGGAGGAGACCAGCAGCCCTTACGTCCGGCACTGCTGCCAGATTCCTGTGCCTGACCCCAGGAACCACAGCCAGTACATTGTCTCTGTTCGACCGAAAGCGGAAGAGAAACTTATAAAGAGCTCAGATAACAGTGAGTTTGCCCCCAGCCTTCTGCACGGAGAGTCTTGTGACAGCACTGTTTCCTTTGTAACCCGTATAAACTCAGGGTTCCCCAGGGCCCAGTCTTCATGTTTGTCACTTTCAGTGAAAAGTCCAGGGAGCAAATTGAACAAACATGATTCCCATGGGTCCTGGAAGTTCTCAAGTGGCAATAATGCAACAGTGACGATGGTCAATAACATGAAGGAAGATGCAATTGATCTTCTCAAGAATATCAATATTAAAACCTTGACCTCATTCTTTTAACTCTATTTTCCCTTCCAGCTTTGCAGCTGCTCTGAAGTTCCTACTGTTGCCCGTGGCCTCTTGGTCGTCCCACCAAATTTTCCCTTTCTTTCCCTGTTTGATTTTTCTCTTTCAGGTTTCCAAAGTCCTCCCCTGATGGATATTTTCAGTCTTCAAGATAATTGATCTATGATTTACTTCTTCATAGAGCAAATGGACTGGGGACTAGCGCGTATGCAAATGGACTGTAATTCCTTACAGGTTAATTTTCCTGATTCCTGGTACATAGCAAGGACCTTATGCAAAGGAATCTCCTGCATTGCTTCACGATGATCAAGTTCTTCTGCCCAGTCTTTAGTGTGTGTCGGAGACAAGCAGCCAGTCTGTCCTAGTCACCTGGGTTTGAACCCACTACTTCCTCTTTGGGATCCTCCAGGTTGCAGTCTTTGTCTCTACCACTTGTTAGCTGCTTGTCCTTAGCAAGTTACCTGATCATTCTGGGGCTCAGTTCTCTGCCCGAGAAGTGGACAAATTGTGTATTTACTACATAGGGCTGCTGTGAGAATTGAGAGAAATAATTCATGTAGATTAAGCATTCATAATAATGCTTAGGACACTGTCAATACTGTAGATTAGAAAAAATTCACAGTAACTTTATTTCTACTTAAATACTAGGGGTAACCCATACTGTTGGTCACTTCACTACAAAACAAGTGTATCTCAGCATCTCCCAAGTGAAGGGTGGCTCAGGTCAAAATAGATGAGATGGTGAAGTGGGGCTGCAAAGACTCTGAGATGGTGAAACCTGGGGTCCTGGGTCAGTGGAGACAGCACCTGTGACCAGCATGGAACACAAGGGATATTCCACTGGAGGAATGTTAGAAATGATGTTCTCTAAAAGTTTCCCTCCCTCCAGTCCAGATGGCTTCTCCAACCCTCAACTTGACCAAGGGCAGAGACGGCTACATCCTGCACTGGAAAGAAGGAAAAATGAACTATGAACACATAGCTTGCATCTTCCAGGTCCAGTACAAGAAAGAAGAAGCCTCATGGGAGGTGAGGGCCTGTGCCCGAGGAGTGGCCCGAATGGGGGAAGGGGGAAACGAGAAAGACCAGGGAGAGTGCCACCTGCCAGGTTCCTGGCTCCCAGCAGGTGCCCAGTCAGAAGGAGCCACTGGGAGTTGGTGGTCGTGCCCCTGTGCAGTCAGCAGGTCATTGTCCCTTCCCTTGGTGAAGGAACTGAGACTCACAGAGCTGATGTGAACTTGACCAAAATGAACGCGTGACCCTGAATCGCAAAGGAGCTGTAGACTTCAGGACGAGAGACAGGTGGAGGAAGGGTTTTCAAAAGTCATAAAGGGGGCATTTCTTCACGAGAATCTCATCCAGAATGCAAATGTGCAGCTGCTAAGAGGAGAGCTGCTCCCTGCAAGGTGCGCGGGGCTCCAGCCTGGGACTCAGTGTCTGGGCCCCACCCCCTGGTATCCATCAGGGCCTGTGGGCAGAGCCTGGGGCTCCACAGAGGCCAGTTCAGAAACCTCGGAGCCAGCCCCAGACCTTCAGGCTGGAAATGGGGAAACTGAGGCCAGAAGGGGGTGTGTCAGTGGTGGAGCAGGAAGTGGTCCCTGGGCTCCTGAACATCTGTCTAAGGGTCCAGAGTCCAGTCATCGTGCAGTGCACCCCTGGGAAGGCCATAATTAGGGTCCAGGCTGTCCCAGGAGGAGCTGGGAGGCTGAGTGGGGACATGGTGACTGACTCCTCAGGGTTTCTGGGCCTCGGTGTCGTCATATGTCACGGGGTGCATTGCAATAGGTGCTGTCCCCCTGTGGGCACTGGAGTATGGTCCTCCGTGGTGAGAGTGATGCTGCCTCAGATCTGATGCGACTACAAGCTGGGGACTGATGGGTAGCAGAAAATCTGGGGTGTTGAGGCGGGAGGGCTTCATAGCTGTGCCCACGTGCACCAGACCTCAGCACACCTGCTCACACACCTGCACCCACAGGAGACCAAGACAGAGGACTTCCAGAACGCCCACAGCATGTGCCTGCCACCTCTGGAGCCTGCCACCAGGTACCAGGCCAGAGTGAGAGTCAAACCTGACCCCCGAGGCTACAACGGGATCTGGAGCGAGTGGAGTGAGGAGAGCTCCTGGGACACTGAGTGGGGTATGTCCTCCCGGCCCCCACTCACCCCTCCAGGCACAGCCCCACTGGACAGAGGACGGGGATGATAGGGGCATGAGATGTAGCCCCACCCCAGGCTAGCATCCTTCCCTGCCAGGTGTCATTAGGGATGAGAAAGTGACACCTGGTGTGCAACACGGACTGCAGGTGAGGTCTCGAGAGGGCAGAGGAGAGCACGTCTCACCAACAGGTCTCCCTAAGCCTGGACCTTAGCCCTCTGTTAATATGGCCCATGCTTCCCATGCTTCCATTAGCTTTTGTGGCAGCTACTACCCAGGGACCACTCAGCCTGAGTTTTCTGTTACCATAAAGAGCTACAGACTGGGGCCTGGGATTGGAAAGCTTTGGTCTGATTTCTCAACCTTCCCTCAATCTGCACTTGCTAACTTCATTTATCTGTCACCATCGCCATAGCGGCCACCAGGAGACAAGTACAGAACAAGGTCCGGGAGGTGATGGCAGAGAGAGGAAAAAGTGTTGGCAGCAAAAAAATTAAAAAAAAAAGTGTTGGCAGCAAGGTCCCCCAGCCAGCCATAGCAGGGAAAGAGCGCGAGGAAGAGGACCCCAACCAAGCAGAAAGAAGGGCTGGGCCCCTGGACCTAAGGGAAGGAGACCAGGGGAGTCCTGGAGGCGCCCAGCCTCTGAGGGGCTTGAGGCCAAGTGGAGAGTTGTGAGGGCCCCTGATGGGCCTTTGCACCTTCTTGTTCCTCCACCATCAACCCTTTCCGCGTCTCGGCCTCTCCAGGCCTCCCTGTTCTTGATGACCACCTTCTATGCTGCCTCCTTCAGGAAGTGCCCTATGATTGCCTCTGGCTGCAGTCACTGCCCACCTACAGCAACACCAGCTACTGGACAGGATCTAACCCTCTGTGTCCTGCCCGCAATCCAGCACTGTGGGTGGCTCAGACAAATGTCCTCTTCTTCTTAGTCTGTTTCTGGCCTCTTCTTCCCCTCTGCATGCCAAAGCGGCAACTTCGCCTCATCTCCTGAGCCCCCAGCCCTTTCCCTCCCCAAAATCTAATGCTCCTGTTTCCTCCTGGCTGCCTGGAAGTGCTGCCCACGTGGGTCCTGGCGCTCACCCTGGTCATCAGCACCTTGATCCTGCTCGTGTCCCTGCGCTTCTGTGGCATCTACGGGTACAGGTAAGGTGACTCCAAGATGGAGGAGGGCGCTACCCAGGGCCCCAGACGATGCCAGGGACCCCACAGCTGACTTTCTCTAGTCTCTGCTCTGCAACTCACACCCTGTGGGGCCTTGGTCAAAGCTGCCCGTTCCCTGGGCTTTACTTTCACCTCGGTACATGAGCACGAGGCAGCTGCCCTGAGGTCTTGGGCAGCGGTCACCTCCCTGCTGTCTTTCCAGGCTGAACCAGAAGTGGGAGGAGAAAATCCCCAACCCAAGCAAGAGCCACCTGTTCCAGGTAGGGGCTGGCTGTGCTCCTGCGCCCACGTCCCCACACCCGTGTCCTCCTCCCTTCCGGTGGGCCTTGAGTAGGGGTGGTATGTGGCCAGGCCAGGGGCTGGGAAGCTCTAAGAGCCGGGCCGGCCCCTGTAAGCCCAGCACTGCGATTCTCTGGGCCCCCCCGATGCACAGGGTACCCCGCCCGGGGGGACTCACGTGGAACAGCAGAGAGGGCTGGCGTGGGGATGCTAGGACCTGGGGGGCGCAAGGAGAGCCTTAGTCATATCGGGGGCAGGAGGGGTGGTGGGAAGCAGCGTGGCTTCCCCAGGACAGGGCAGCAGCGCTGAGCTCTGAAGGATAGAGGGTGGTGGCAGGTGGGAGAGGCCACTGCTGGCAGAAGGCGAGTGGAGGGTGGAGACAAGACTCCTTGGAGAGGGGACCTGAGGGGCGTGGGCGGTGAGTCTGGGGCGTAGCACGGGAGGCTGAGAGGACACCGGGGAGGGCGCCGGCACGTGGGGGGCGGGAGCCCTTTGGTCAGGCAGGTGGGGCCAGGACGGCCTTGGGAGGGTCTCACGGCCAGTGCGGAGGAGACTAGGGGTGAGCATGGAGACAGGGACAGCCCAGATGGGCGTCCTCGTGGGCACAGGCTGCCCGTCCTTGCTGCCCAGGGCCCCGGGCCAAGTCCCAGCCCCTCTCTGGCCTTGTGTTCCTGGGGTCAGGAGGGTGTGGTCGCTGCTGCCCATGCTGAGATGCCGCCACGTCTGGGGGCTCCTGAACCCTCGCCACCCTCAAGGCCCTCCCCCCACCTCACCTCCTGGGGTGCCCCCACCCCACAGGCACAAACGCCCTCTCTCCCCCCAGGACGGGCGCGCCGGGCTCCGGCTCCCACAGGGCACGCGCGCCGTCGGCAGCGGGAGCCACGCACACAGGGGGCTCTGGGGCGGCAGCTTCGCTCAGCCGGAGGGGTGAGTGTCAGCGCGGGATCCCTAGGAGGTGGGACGGTGGCTCCCTCCTGCACGTCGGGGCTCAGGGGAGGTGGCCTGGGACTGGGGCTCGATGGGAACAGGGCCCTGGAGGCTGACTGCTGTAAAGTGAGAGGGGTCCCGGCTGGACGGCGGGATAGGGAGGGTCGTGGCCAGAAGCCGGAGACTGGAGCAGATGACCTCCCTCGGCCCTGCTGCCCAGGGGGTCGCCACGCTGCCTTGGTCCCGCTGGGTGGCAGAGGATCTGCGAAACCTCATGGCCTCGGCAGCTGAGTGGCCGGCTCACCACTAAGCCTCAGGTGGGGCAGGTGAAGGCCGAGGGCATGGCCGAGCCCAGGCTGGGCGCTGACGCTGCCTGCTGGCAAGGAGAGGGAGGTGGGAGGGACCACAGCTGGCAGAGCGTGACCTTGAAGGAGAGCGCGGGGGCTGGAGGGGGACCCACAGGGAGGCTGGAGGGGCGCCCGGTCTCCTGTTCCCGGCCGGCTCCCTCACCTCGCCCTGCTCTGCGTTTCCCGTGAGCTCTGGGTGGAGCCCGGCCTCCATCCCACCCCCTGGTTCCCTGTGCGCGAGCTGAGGCGTCTGTCAAGGGTGGTGTCAGTGTCCCTGGCCTTGTTCTCCCCACAGGGCATCCCCTGTAGACTTCGGGCACAGTGAGGTGTCACCTCTCACCACAGAGGACCCTAAAAATGCCTGTGACTTGTCATCTGAGCCTGACATGACTCTGGTCACCTCGGACCTCCGCACGGAGCAGCCGCCCGGGCCCCCGCCAGAGCTGGCCACCCCCGCAAGCAGGCCTGAGAGCCAGGCTTCCGGCTTCGATTTCAATGGCCCCTACCTGGGGCCGCTTGACAGCCGCTCCCTGCCGGACATCATGGGCCAGCAGGGGCCCCTACGGACAGGCACGAGCAGGAAGCCGCAGCCCCCGGGGCCCCTGGAGTACCTGTGTCTGCCCACAGGGGGGCAGGTGCAGCTGGTCCCACTGGCCCAGGTGATGGGGCCGGGCAAAGCCAGGGATGCGGACCTGAGGTCCAGCCCAGGCACCGAAGGGAACCCTTCCCTGGAGCCAGGGGCAGGCCCTGCCCCTCCTGAGCCTGGGGTGATGGTGGGTGGTCAAGGCCCGAAGGACAGGGCCCCCCCAGGTCTGCCCACTGGCTCTCGGGGTCCTGAGGAAGGCACTGTGGCCACTGGTTACGTCACCACTGCAGAGCTGACATTCACCCCACCCACGGGGGCCCCATCTCCTTCCCAGGCTCCCCCTCTGAGCCTCCCCTCAGACCGGAACCCCAGCCTCTGTCCTGGACTGGCTGATGGTCCCCCTGGACCCCTAGCCCCACTGAAGCCAGAGTTCGAGGGCTATGTGGATCTCCCTCCAACCGCAGGCCAGTTTCCCCAGTCCCCTCTGGCCAGCCCTGCCCCTCCTGCAGCCAGCAGTCCTGTCCTGGGCCCAGGACCGCCCCGGGCAGATGTGTTCTCAGTCTCCCCAACCCCTGAGGGGCTCCTCGTGCTGCAGCAGGTGGGTGACTACTGTTTCCTCCCTGGCCCAGGGTCTGGCCCTCTCTCACCCCAGAGTAAGCCCACCTCCCCAGGACCCTGTCCTGAGATCAAGGACCTCAACCAGGTGTTCCAGGCCAAGAAGCCCCCGTCTCAGGCCACTCCCCAGGTGCCGGCCATTCAGCTCTTCAAAGCCCTGAAGCAGCAGGATTACTTGTCACTGCCCCCTTGGGATGTCAGCAGGCCTGGGGAGGTGCGCTGAGACCCTGTAGACGTTGAGGGAGGGGCATAGAAGGACAGGGTCTGCCTTTCCTCCCGCCCTGCCTTTCCCTCCTGCCAGCCCCTGGTCCCTTCCATGGTCCTTTCCGCAAAGCCAAGGAGAAGTTTCCATGTTGTAACGTGGAGACCAGAAAAACAAGTCAACCATCTACCTCCTCCCTTGACCTTCAGCAAGGTCAACCTCCTCTTTCTCTCCGTCCCTCTCTGACACACAGGCGCACGCGCGCGCGCACACACACACACACACACACACACCCACTGTTCTTTCAAATTCACTTCTTTTAGGTTCTGAATTATTAGAGATTTATACACATACTCATTTCATTTGCCCCCATTTTCCTTTTTTCCCAGTTTCCCTGCTTTTCCTATTGTCTTCTCTTTCCACTGATTTATCATTAGAGTGAGTTTGAGGTCTGGGCTAAGCCTATTCTGAGATGCCATGTCTCAGTCAGAGCCTATTCAGATTCTGACATGTCTGGTTTCATGGAGGACTTCTGTCTGTCCCTGGCGGGCATGAACGCACACGACAAGATTCCAGCCCAGGGACTTCCCCGGCGGTCCAGTGATTAAGACTCCGCCCTTCCAATGCAGGGGGCGCAGGTTTGATCTCTGCTCAGGGAACAAAGATCCCACATGCCATACCCTGTGGTGTGGCCCAGTGCAGGGAGGGGAAGAGATTCCAGCCCTGAGGCAGGAGGCAGAAGGCGTGGGGTGAGGGCTTGGGGGTTTCAGGCTTGGAAGAGCAGCCCTGGACTCAGCATGCTTCTGTCGGGCGCTGCAGCCCCAGACGTGGTAGCAAAGCAGCAGCCTCCATTGTCACTCCAAGAAATGGGCATGGTGTGAGCATCACTGTTCTGAGCTCATAGGAAGCCCTGCTAGTCTCACAGAGGTGACTGGGGAGCCTCAGGGACCCCAGGCCCTGCATCCTGTACAGGCCACTGACCTGAGCAGTGGACAGTGCCAGCTCCTGGTTGAAGTGATGTCCTTCCTACACCCAGGCTGGTGGGGCCTGGAGAAATTCAGGATGGGAGGGGAGTCCAGAACCCACATCAACTGCAGAAAAGTTGGAAAGAACTGCTCAACAAGGGAAAAAGGAAAATGACCTAAGGGCATGTACACTTGGGCTTATAGTCCAAATCTCCCAGTTGCCCGTCCTCCAGAAAGACCTTACAAATGCCATGTCCACCAGCCATGTACAAGGGGCTTTTGGTCTATGGCTTGTCTTACGCTGGGAATCATGATTCTTTTAAATCTTTGCCTTTCTGATATGCAAAAAAAATAGCATTAAATTGTTTTAATTTGCATTATTTGAGAACTATCATGTTTGCACATATTTTCATAGTTCTTGGGAGTTTGTATTTTTTTTACTGATCTAAGCCCGTTAAGGTCTTCATTGTGTTGGATGTCCACTTTTTTCTGATTAAGCTTTAAAAGCTATTTAGCTCCTGCCTTTCATAGATGGTGTAAATTTGTTTTCCTCGTTTGTGGTTTGCCTCTTAATTTTGTATGTGACGCTTTCGGATGTATTCAATGTAGACCTGTCTGAGGGATCAGATAGATCTACGGGTGAACTTCTTCACGCTTCCACTTTGGGTGTCAAATTGACAAAGCCCTTCCCCACTTCAAAATTGCATTTGTCCAAAGTTATATTTTTTTCTGGTTCTTTTTGTGTTTCAAGCTTTTCATGTGAAGTTAGAGTGATTTTGGAATATATGCACGTGAAACGGAAAGCCGGTTTTATGTTTCCCCTAAACGAGTCGCCTGGGTGTTCCGGCATCATTGATTGAATTGCCCATTCTTCGTCCATGTATCTGAAAGGTCACATTTATGATATAGAAAATCCATGTGTATTGTCATTTTCTAGGCTTTCCTTTTTATTAAGTTGTCCCCTCCATGGCACCCCACCATTCTAACTGTTCTAGCTTTATAATATGTTTTAATAGGTGGCAGAGCAAATGTTCTTGTTCCTTTTGTCCACAAATCCCTGTTCATTACAGCATTGTCTGTGATCGAAGAAAATGATAAACAATTTAAATCCTCACCAATAGTGAAATTAATCAGAACATTTGAGTCCATTCTAAGGTGGAATCCTGTGTTCAAAATGAATGAGGTGGGGGACTTCCCTGGTGGTGCAGTGGTTAAGAATCCACCTGCCAATGCAGAGGATACGGGTTCGAGCCCTGGTCCGGGAAGATCCCACGTGCCGCGGAGCAACTAAGCCCGTGCACCACAACTACTGAGCCTGCGCTCTAGAGGCCGCAAGCCACAACTACTGAGCCCGTGTGCCACAACTACTGAAGCCCGCGCACCTAGAGCACGTTCTCTGCAGCAAGAGAAGTGACCACAATGAGAAGCCCGTGCATCACAATGAAGAGTAATCCCCTCTCGCTGCAACTAGAGAAAGCCAGCCTGCAGCAACGAAGACCCAACGCAGCCAAAAATAAATAAATAAATAGGAAAAAAATCTAAAAAGGAAACAAAAAGAGTGTCTCTCTTGTGAGCTGAACAAAGGCACTTTAACAGTCAGGCAGAGAGGCAGGGTTCCCTGTGGCAGGCCATTATGTATGCTTACAGCTATAGACAATGATTGTAATAACAAAAGCAACAAAAAGCAAGGGTTAAAGGAAAAGAAACAGATCCAACATGGAGTCAGAATCGGCTCTTCCCTGTTACAGAATGACGTATCATTGACAGTTTACACAATCTAGAGTTAAGCGTCCTTACAAGATCAAGAAGGAATGTTACCTTTTGTTGTCTTGTCAATGCTGGGAGAATGTTGCGTTTTGGAGTTGAGCAGGTATCGCTGCTGATGTACACACAATGCAGGTACACAGTGCACGGTGCGGGGGAGAGAGGAGACCGAAGTGCAGAGGAAAAATTTTATGTTTACATTTTCTTCTCTTGCCATAAAATATGAATTTTATTTCACACCTTGAACGTGATGATTTGAAGTGTACCAGGGGCTGGAGGTGGATGATTATACTACCCTTGGGCCAGCGCCCAGGAGCCATGCTGGGTCAGGGACCACTCCAGAACCCTCCAAGGGGCAGACCTCCCAGGACCCTGGGAGCTCAGCCTGAGCTGAGAGGGCTCCACATGCCACCTGTGCCTGGAAGCTTCCACAGTGATGGTTCAGTTCCCAAGTGGGGTCACTGCCTCCCTACAACACTCAGGATATGTATAAGCCCCAAAGGGACCAGCAGCACCCACCCTATGGGCCAGGTAGAGGTGCCCCTCTCCAAGTCCCCTCTATCCTGAGCTGGGAAAAGAGGGGAGAGAGCCACACCACCGCTTCTGCAAAATCTTTAAACAGAGTTGGGTGGTAGAGATTGCCAGGAAGGCTCTGAAAGTCCTTAGACACATATTTGTATAAGGCAGAGAGCCATCCTCAGACCTAGGACCAACCCTGGCCCTAGGCAGCAGGGATGCTCAGGGCCAGAGCAGTGTCTGACCCCTGTGCACTTTTGTTCTCATCCTTGGGTCCAGTCTCATTCCTGAGAACTGGGGCAACCCGGTGCCAGCCTGTGACAGTAGAATCCCTGCCTTCCTTCTTATGCTGGAGTCTCTGTCCTAAAAGACTCAAGAGTCAGACCTGTCCTGTTCTGTCCCTCCCCAGCTCCTGCTGCGCTTCTGGTACCATACCCTGGGTCCTGCAAGTGGGACCCCTCATACCAGAGACTTCCTCTTGGCCCCCCTGATTAATGAGTGGGGACTTGCTTCCTCCTCTGTTACTGCCCACCCCTCTTCTCTGCTTTCCTAGCTCTCTCTACATAGGTGGTTTCCAAGCTTTGCGTTTTCACTGATATTCATGAGTTAAAAGAAAGAAAGAAAGAAAGAAAAAAGAAGAAGAGAAGCAGTACCAAATTTTTTTTTTTTTTTTTTTTTTTTTTTTTTTTTTTTGCGGTACGCGGGCCTCTCACTGTTGTGGCCTCTCCCGTTGCGGAGCACAGGCTCCGGACGCACAGGCCCAGCAGCCAGGGCTCACGGACCCAGCCGCTCCGCGGCATGTGGGATCCTCCCGGACTGGGGCATGAACCCGTGTCCCCTGCATCGGCAGGCAGACTCTCAACCACTGCGCCACCAGGGAAGCCCCCAACTTTTATATTTTTAATCAGACCAATTAAAAAGAAACCATCAGGGACTTCCCTGGTGGCGCAGTGGATAAGACTCCGCACTCCCAATGCAGGGGGCCCAGCTTCGATCCCTGGTCAGGGAACTAGATCCCACATGCATGCCACAACTGAGGAGCCCGCCTGCTGTAACTAAGACCTGGCGCAACCAAATAAATAAATATTAAAAAAAAAAAAAAAAGAAAGAAAGAAACCATCGTTTGGGACTTCCCTGGCTGTTCAGTGGTTAAAACTCTGTGCTTCCACTGCAGGGGGCGAGGGTTCCATCCCTGGTTGGGGAACTAAGATCCCACATGCCGTGCAAAGAAAAAGGAAGAAGAAGGGCTTCCCTGGTGGCGCAGTGGTTGAGAATCTGACTGCCAATGCAGGGGACATGGGTTCAAGTACTGGTCTGGGAAGATGCCACATGCCGCAGAGCAACTAGGCCCGTGAGCCACAACTACTGAGCCTGCACATCTGGAGCTTGTGCTCCGCAACAAGAGAGGCCGCCATAGTGAGAAGCCCGCGCACCGCGATGAAGAGTGGCTCCCGCTCACCGCAACTAAAGAAAGCCCTCGCACAGAAACGAAGACCCAACACAGCCGAAAATAAATAAATAAATAGCGTTCCCTTTAAAAAAAAAAAAAAAAGGAAAAAGAAAAGAAGAAAGAAACCATCATTTACTAAACCTTAGACCAGCTTCTTGACCCTAGGCTCTGACGTCCCTTTTCTTAGAGCCTTTTCTTTAGAAAACTTGTAAACTCTTTCTCTGCCCCTTTGAGATATCACATCATTTTTAAAAGCCCCTTTCCAGTTTTACAACCCAGAACTGTCTTTCTCAAGGACCTGGCTTCCAGCCCTTTGAATTGTCATCAGCAAAGAATATGTGTCTCTCTCTCCCAGTTACTGCACAGAGGTAGGTGCCTAACCACAGTGCGCACCTCACTCCAAGTTGTAAAACTACCTCCTGACATGAGATAAGATGAAGTTTACTTCTTCTTTGGCTAAAGCCAGTTGGCAAACACAGACAGCCCGTGAGCTTCCTCTCTGGTAAGCCCTTAAAAAAAACCCTGCTCTTTTTGTTTCAGGAAAGTTGAGTTTAAACTTGGTTCTAATCTTTCTCTACTGTTGCAGTGATCTTAAATAAAGTCTTCCTTGTTTTATTTTGCCGGGTACAATTCGCTTTGGCAATGGAAGCCTCAGCGGTGGGACAGTCCCTTGGAGTCCCAAACCCACCAGGGATTATGGCTTATGGAGAGATTTCTAATGTTATGGGACCTACTGGTAGGGTCCCTCCTTTAATTTATTGTGCTGATTGATTTCCTAAGTTGGCACTATCACTGCCTTGTGGGATTGAATTCTATTCAGTCAGATATCCCTTTAAAACACTGCTGGATCTGATTTGCCAATATTTTATTGATGATTTTGC